TTTGCAGACGATCTGATATATGGTTTAACGACATCGCAGTTGCGCTTTTATAGTCAATTTTCAAAATTCTTTTTTTTTTTTTAAATAATGAACCTGTTAAACCTGAAAAGAGGATGACATTGAAGGTGCATCCGAGGTAGAAATTACGCTTTCCTGGTCATCGACCGAAAGCAAGGACGCATCTCCACAGCATGTTCCAGTAGCACCGTTGTTACCGATACCGATAAGTTTTGAGTGGAAATTGACGATTTCATTGACAATTTCCAATAATTTTTCACCTTTCTGGTCATTTACATATAAAAAATATAGGATAAAGAAATTTTTGAATGATTGATCTGACACTAAACTTCATTAATTTAAAATATTTATGGACCCCACCTCTTTTTGGGTAAATATACAGTATTAGTTTCATATTACAATAGAACCTCGATTATCCGAATTAATAGGGAGGCAAATCCATTCTAACAAACGGTCTTTCGGGTATTTGATCTAGGAGATCCACAGTCTTAGGTGTCGAATCTATTGAAAGCAAATAGTTTCATTCAAAATAAATGTCAAATATTGAATGCAAATATTATAAATACATAATTTTTTAATTGATTGAACATTTAAAAACATTATCAGCTCGAAAATGAGGAAAATGACGGTTAATAAGCTAAAATAAACAGAAAATGTCCGTTTCAACCCCAGATCAACTTTTTTTTTAAATTCTCATTTCAATCTTCCACAATACAATCTGTAATTTTTCATTACAACACATTTCACGTACACAAAACTCTTCAATGAGAGTACCAATTTATCCCCAAATAAATTCAAAAGTAAATATGCAACTAAAATAAACATCGCGTTATAAAAAATCTACATATTACTTCACTTCTTTCTTATTAATTAACTCTAATTATTATACAATTTCTTCACAGTCTCAATCTCCCCCATTATAAAATCAAGAAGTCTACCCTCCCGCCGTATATGTATAAATATCGATTTCATTAAATATATTCAAGAGCAAATTTTTATTATAAATTCATCGATTACCTATATGTCGCGTGACACCGTGTTAACATTAGAATTACCAAAGATAAACATGTATATAGTATACAAATATACTAATTCATAAACGAACTCATTTCTTTACTTACATGTTGCAGTGAAAGATCTCAGAGAACGCATTGTTGTAACATTCTAATCATCGTTATAAGAGTACAAAGGGTGGACCACAAATCGTGATCAGTTTAGATTATTCTACTGATATGTAGCTGTTCAATCGAGAATTTTTTTAGCTAGTATAACGTAATTCAGGAAGAGCTTTAAGATGATTGTACCAAATTTTTTGTCAACTCTTTTTTTCTAGAGTTTTCAAGGTCACCTTCAATTTTTTTATAAACGCACCTTTAATTTTTATATGCCAATCTTTTAGCGGATACTGAGACTAATTCGGCAAGCATCATAATAGATAATTTTGTTTTCTTCTAAACCGTAACACTTTCAAATGGCAGCCATTTTCTTCTGTTGATGGACATGTAGTTCAATTTTTCAGAAATTAGCAAGATGTATATATCGAATTTTTAATAAACAATAATTCTGCACATCCAAAAATTTTTTAATTTTCCCTTTTATTTAACAGCTCAAAGATATGTAACTCCTTAAAAAACGATTGTTTTGTTCTATTTGTGACATCTGCACCGACGATTAAGCACGCAAAACATTTTCGATCGAGCAGCTACCAACAAAATAACCTAAGTTGTTCACGTTTTAAGTTCCACCCTGTATACTAACTAGTCATTTTACCTGCTTCGGTAATTCCAGCGTTAAATAGCTGTTAAACCGATTTTTTTGTTACCAAAGTCGGTCGTAGACGACAAAAGTCCAGTAAAAATCTCCTAAAAGAGAAACTCCCTAGAAAAGAACTGAAACAGTTTTTCCAGAGTTTTCATAAATTGTACCGTGCATCGGTGGGATAAAAAGTCAGTCGGCGAGAACCTGCTTCTGCCGCGTGGAATATACCATCCTGTTTTCACGACTGTGGATTAAGACGGGTTGTCTTTCACAACACGAAAACGATACACGAGTGTACCGGATCTCGTCGGTCCGCTGGCACGCTCCGACGAAGGATCGAAGTGACGGTACTTCATTCCATCTAATATCGAAGAGCGGAACGTAGGACGACCAATTATGTACTTCCTTGTGTCCGAGTTTGTGTCGGTGTAACAACCAGTTCCGTTGATGCGATTTTTTGACCGACTTCTTGGTACCCTCTTTACTGAATCGATAATTAACAAGAGCAGAGTTTTGTATGTTTCAAAAATTGAATTTCTGTAGTTTCTTTTATTATCATTGGAACTACCGAAACTGTAAAAATACCGGATTTTACGTATTTTATTTTACAATTATCGAAATCCTAAAGATACTTTCACCGGAGTTTCTGTTGACCTTTAATTCATTATACATTTTATATTATCCTATACTAAGCTATATTGTATTATACATATATTACATATATTAATAAATCAGAAAATTTAACTCAGTATATATTTAATCCTGGTTGTTCTAGTGTTAAATGTTCCTAACTGTATACTTACAATTATTTATATTTATTTGATGATAGTAGGGTAAACCGTTGAATGTCCGAACTGGTGAATTTATGGACGTTTGAGATTGTTACTTGAATTTATTTATTTGTAACAACGAAACACTGTTAATATTTCAATTACATTTATTTTTCTTGGAATTTTTATACGAATGATAACTTATTCTTATTGTAATTTTGAAAAAATTATTTATACAGTGCAAAACGTGTAAAAACCTAGTATGTGATTGTTACATTTTTGAAATATTTTCAATATGAATTGTACTTAGAGTAGGAGCTCGTTTATTGTAGCCTTCGGGGCTGTAGAGGGCTAAATTTCTAGGAATACTACATTAAGCAAGCTACAATCACCCGCACGCTCTTATACAGTCACCAGCTCGCTCTTCCCGCCAATCGACCGTTCACTTGTTCGACATAGCTACATATAGGGTGGGCTGGATATAGACACTGTTTAATTCGTCTCGATTATTGTCCTGAACTCGGGTCCTGGACAATAATCTTATAACGAGAAACAAAGTATTGACAACAAAGTATGCGCTTGACAGGTTCCACGCCTGCCCCCCCCCCTGCCCCCAATGGTGGAGATAACGTCTAGACAATAATCGTGTAGAACAAGCCAGACGATAATCGAAAGGATCATTTATATGTTATGTAATATACACAACAATACAATAATATATTTATTTGATGATTTTGAAATAATATGGGATTGATAGGGTGAAGAGGTTATGCTTAGTCAGGAGGCCGAAGAAAGAGTGATCTTTAGGAACAAACATGTGACGCGCAGCGTTTTTTTTCTAACAACCAGTCATTCTGTCCTAAACCAGTATTTCGAAAAGTTCGAACTTTTAACCGAACGCATATATTTTCGACGAGAAAAAAACAAAATAAATTGTGTCTGACCACGAGCCGTCTTTTTCACTGTGGCAGTCAAACACGCCTGTTCAGGCCCCTGTCCTTTTTGGCAGCTGGAAAAAAAGGTGACACGTCGGAATTTTTTTTTAAAGAAAGCAAAGATGATAATGTGGTAAAAAAACTTCCTGGCCTTTATTTATTATACATTCAGATAAATAAAAAAAAACGTTTCTTTCAATATTCCTGCATTGTAGGTAGCGCTAATCGCGTAAATCCAATAAACAGTTATTAATCGATTTTCAAAATTCTTGTAGCATTCTTCTTGTAATTGTATCAGCTGTCGTACGACCTACTATTGAAAACTTTGAAGACTAAATTCTTTTGTTATTCACAATAATATACGTACAATTTCCGCCTTTTTTTGCATGTCTTTATTAAAACTTCTACCAAATGCGGCCATTTTAATGCTTCGTTTTCACGATACGTTGTACGATAGACGTTGGAGTAACATTGAATAATTTTCTTGAAATTTTAATTTCGGACTTCTGTACATCCAGATATCGTGGGCACCGTTTGTACAATACAATTTTGGATCAACACGATTATCGCTACCTACGTGACGAACGAATATCGAAACAAACATTTTTTTTTAGTTACCTGAATGTATAATAAATAAAGACCATGAAGTTTTTTTATCATAGATATCTTCTTTGCATTCTTTTAAGAAATTCCTAAATATCATCTTTTTTTCGGGCTACTAATGCTTAATAATGATATGCATTTTCAGTTATATTTTTTGAAAATGTTTATTTGTATTCATATTTATGTTTAACTAAATAAAACAGACGTGTTACAATCTACCCCGGGCTGGGCCACATTGTAACAAAAGTTCAGATTTGTTTAAGATGAACATAGATGTCTAAGTATCAAAGATTTTGTCACATATTTACACTCAATGAGTTGAACAAAGATATAAGCAGTAAGTCACGTAAATTATTTCCTAATTGAGGAAAACACTTTTGAGAAAAAATTGTGAAAACTTTTTTCGTTAAAACAATCTCCCCTACACATATACAATACACATAGTACACCTTTTTTTGTTCACAGGCTGCACAAAACTCCTTACATCTACAATATTTATGAATTCACCGTGAAAATAAACATTTTCTATGCAGTTTAACCGTCCAATAAAGTATTCTCGCCGTTTCAAAGAAATCGGTTGAATAATTTCCTCCCAAGAAACTCCAATTAAATTCGTTCATTTTTAGCCCCTGTACACCAAACTTCCCGCTTAAACACACTCGAGTCCGTCTGTTTCGCGTATCCCGCGGAAAAAACACGGGGAAAATCCGCCGTTGGTCCCCCGACGGTCCGCGGTGTATAATACGACGCGTAGTCACGTCGCTATCGGCCTCCGTTTGCGGTGCCCCGCACGGGAGAGAGAAAAGTCCTCTTTGGACGTTGTCTCCGCGGCTGGCTGACGGGGGTTAGTGATCACGGGCAAGACGGGTATAAAGCAGAGTGAACACAAGCCTCGTGCTCACTAATAACAGGATAGAGAGGGAGAGTGCGGAGCCGAACTTGGGAACGGCAACGAAGAATCATCTCGCCGTGTTATACGTGTTAAAAACTGAACACCATTGGGGGAACACTCGCGATTTTCCGTATCGCGGCACACTCGACACGACTGGGTCCAGATACACACGGCACACCGGGGGCCCTCCTCACCGCGTAGCGAGTCCACGCCGATTAAAACAGGAGGGAATAATCGGTTCCGGCCGACGAGGACGGTTCTGGGCTTGTTTTCCGCGCGCGAGGTTAACAGTCATCAGCAGAGATCGCGGAAACGACGGACGATGAGAGTGTGAGAAGAAAATAGTGTTTTTTTTTTGTTTGCTTTTGGCTCGTAGTTGTTGTTGTTGTTGTTGTTCCTCGTGCCACCGGACCACGCGATCCAAGAAGAGAGTGTTTCTTCGGTTTCGGACGTCGTTTCGCCTGAAAATCGTTCTCGGTAAGTGATTAACCACCAATTATTGTATATTGCTCCCATTGTCTCTGGTGCGTCGAGTTGGGAAAACATCCGCGACATGAGAACACGGAATTGTGGCGATGTGGTTCGTTGAGACAGTTTTCGATCGTTAGTTTGCACGAGGAAAAAGATCGATTTAGATAGATGAAGGTTAGTCGGAATGTGGCTCGGTTTTTGTATTACTAGAGGAATAATGTCCTTGGTTTAGTTCTATATCCACTTGTTTTTGAACTGAGAAAATTGAGTTTTTAGCTCACGAAGTTTAATCTTGCGCAAGGAGGAAAGTAGTAATTAAACACACTGTAATATCGTCTACTGAATAGCTATTTAGTACAGTATTTAACAAAATTTGTTCTTCTTATCGACATTAATAGTTAATTGTTGTTAGTATTTGGAAATACTATCATTAAGGAAAATAAACTTTTAAAGTTTTGGAGTTAGAACTTAACAAAATTTTATTGTTAAACATTGCAATAAATTTATATTCTTTTGAGTCCTAACTCCAAAACTTTAAAAGTTTATTTTCCTTAATGATAGTATTTCCAAATACTAACAACAATGATCTATTAATGTCGATAAGAAGAAAAAATTTTGTTAAATGGAATATTTGTTATTTTCAAGTTCAGTATATTAAAAAATTACAGAAAGTTTGTTCAAGTTCTTTTTTTATTTCAACCGTACTAAGACCCTTAACAGGCAAAGTAAATTTTTCTTTACACCCACTTTCGAGAAATTGACCGATAAAATTCTATGTTTCTATAAGCATTCCCAGTCTAATAATAAATACTGTTTTTGAACTCCAGAGTTTGAACGATTATCAGTTATTTCGAGATGACGATTTTCAATCGAACTAGATCTATCTGGATCGATAACTCTCTTGGCAGCGAGTTAATATAAGCTTCTTGATCCCTGTGTTTACCAGTTTTAAAAACGACTGAAGCAAAGTGCATTGAAAAACGACATTTATTATGCAACAATTTAATATTTAAGAAACCCATTATCCTGTCAGTTTCTGTAATGTTCGATTTGATTCAGAAACTTTCGTTTGGTTAAAAATAGAGAGCGTTCGGTCACGAATTACTTCTGTTTCTCAGTTTTTCAAATTAATTTCCACTGAAGGCAACAGATTATAGATTATTATGTTGTGTATTCTTTATTAGTATCTACCTTAAAAACTGTCGATACCATACATGTACGATTAAACCGCGAATCTTCAATGGAAAATGACATTTCACAAACTGATTCGAATAGACAAGATTAAAAGGAGAAATTCCCACGTCCCTAGCAACTATATCTTACTAAATTATGAATAAAATAAAAAAAATTGATACCATCCGGTGGAAGTGTGGCCTTGTATCGTATCACACAGAGTGTTATTGGTTATAAATGCACACCATTAAACCTGGTACAGTAAAATCTTACTACGCGATCAGTCTTCACAGTGATCGAATGTATTCGTAAAAATCGTTATTTCCATAAACACGGCCATAATATTCGTTTCATCGCCGATACTTGAAAGTTATTCCTGACTGAGGCCTCTCCGAGTAGACACAATATGGAAAGAACAGGTTATATGGGCATGAAATGATCATGGGTTCCTTATAGTGTACTATGGAAATTTGTTATTTAAAGCACGTTTTGTTCTCGTTTTTTTTTTTCTTCTTCGCCGAGGGAGCACACAACACGAAATCTCGTGCGAGTGTCGGCTAATTAGCTGGCAAAGAAGCAGGAAAATCGCGGAAAATTTTCACATACTCGGTGTATCGTTGCCGTGTCAACGTTATTAAATTGCACGGAATATTATTCGCTTCGGGCGATCGTACTCCGCTGCCCTAGAGAGATGATAGATACGCGTGTCACGCGCGTCGTTCTGCATATGCACTCTCCTTTTCTCCTTACGGTTCAATATCAATGCAGAACGCGTATCGAAAGATGACAAGATAGTTCGTTCGACTCTGGTCACTTAGTTTATCGTATCTGTAGGACGCGTCGTTCTCCTATTCACATTCGAATTCCACGTTCTCTACCGTCCCGAAATCCAGCGATCTATTAGATGTATTCGTAATTAATCCACTATTATAATACTTCATAATACAATGTATAGGTTTCATTAAACGTTTCTCTATTAATTTTAGAAGTATTTTCACCATTAAATTACAGTTTATTCAATTAGTCAAGCCTCGATTATAATATGCTTCAACCGTTTGGTCTACACAATTTAAAAAATAGGAACTAATATTAGAGAGAGGGCGATATAAATTTATCCGATACAATAATCGTGTAGAACAAGCCAGACGATAATCGATGATGACGGTTCGAAATGTTTACTAAAACTCCCTGTTTTTCCAACTGGAATGAAAAAAAACTTTTATTTTGTAATAGAACCGAATGATAACCTGCTGTCACGTTTTTTCTCGGTAGAGTTCAATCGCGTGGCGCGCTTCTCCACGTGATAGAGCCTGGCCTGACCAGGCGTTAAAGTCTCCGGGCGATGTGGATCTCGAATCGGTCCCCGTGACACGCCACAGTCGCGACTTCTGCCTTGTTGTTAACATATATTTGATACGCTCATTTTTTCCATAAAATTAATTAGAATTCAAATAACCGAAAGAGAGAGAGAGAGAGAGAGAGAGAGAGAGAGAGAGATCGAAATAATTAGATAAAAAATATACCGTGTCACTCTCGATTACAAGCTAAATGTATTTTTACTCATTTTTTCTCTAACAACTTATCGAATAATGTTCGAAGTATAATTTAACAAATTACACGACACTGAGGTTCTCTTAAAGCGAAACAGAATAAAACCTGAAACACTCGCGATTCGGGGATAAAACGTTCTGAGAACTGTCGCCGAATGTCCTTCCGATCAATTTATGCGTGACAGCGATTTAAAAAAAAGAAAAAAGTGCTTGTATTCAATGACACTTTTCTTACCTTGCCTGTGCAGCGTGTAATGATAGGAACAATTTATACTCAGCGATCTGAAGCAACGATAGCGCTGACTTAACGTTTTCGTTTCAAAGTATGTATGTATACAGGGTGATGCACCTACAAAATAGACCACCTGACTGTCTTAGCTATTATTGGTGATAGAAAAAAATGTGTCAAACTTGCATAATGTCGAAGAGCATACAATTTGATGCTAATAGTGTTTTGATAGGTGAACGCGTAGAGGTCATATGAAGGTCAACTTCGTTTTTTTAAATGGAAAGACATGTTATCTATTTATGAAGGTACGTAAAGAAACATTAAAAAACTATGTTGACCTTAATATGACCTCTACACGTCCACCTATCAAAAGACTCTATCTACATCAAATTGTGTGCTACTTAATAACATGCAAGTTTTGTTTGACACATTTTTTTTATCACCACTAACAGCCGAGATGTTCAGGTGAGCTGTTTTAGGTGTATGTATATTCCTGCAGATTTCTAATCGGATTCTGTGATCTCTTACAGGTTCTAAACTCCTCGAAACCCGTTCCCCAATTCCACCAGAAACAACACGTCGATTCCGATGATTTCTCATTAAATTTCTGGAAATCTGCTTACACTTCCGTCAAAAGCAAAATTCCATGGTGATCCACAACGCACGTGCACGTAATAGAAGTTCAGCGCCAGTCGACGCGTCTTCGACAGATTTCTAATCAGTTTCTATGATCTTTCTGGGATTCTATGTTTCTCGAAACCTGTTCTTCGATTCCAGCAGAAACAACTCTTTGATTCCGACACGACTTCTCACTAAATTCCTGTCAGTCTTACATTTTCGTGAAAATCGTGGCTCATAGTGATCGATAACACGCGCGTACAATCGAAGTTTAGCACCGGGCAATTCACGTTTCGCAGATTTCCAATCGTATTTTACAATTTTTACATTTCAAATTCAACTTTGTTGCAAATCAAATTCACTTAAGACCGTTTTAAAAATAATGGCACCTCCTGGTTTTACCCAGGTTAGTATCCTGTTTTTCCCGAGTTTCCTCAGTAGACTGTTTAGACATTTTCTTTTAAAAAAATATTTTATTCACCAGAAACACCTGGTCAATATTCCGACGATTTCACACTGTATTCCTGTTCGGTCTGTCTCATACTTCGATCGAAATCGAAGCCTGGCGATCGATAACTCGCGTGCGCGCTTATACGAGGAGAGTTTAATTAGTTGGGACGTAATGCTCCTAGATCTGATCTTTCGGGACGATAAATAATTAATGGGCGGGCCGCGGATAAAAGTTCGAAGAGCCGTCTGTCAATCGTGTACGGGTGCGTTCGTTACGGTGTTGTTGCCGCAATCCCGGCCGCGATTAACATTGCAAATCCTCACTGCCGCAAATCGACGAGACGAAGGATCGACATTAACACGGCGTAAATGCATCTCCGTGCCGTGAGTCACGGTGATGCCACCACCTGTGCTATACAGGCTGTCCCGCGCAACTGGTACAGGCCGTAGCGTTAAAATGATGAAGGATAGAAAAAAATGTACTTAAGAAAAATTAAATGGTTTCCAGTGATGCATCACCTGGCGAATGTGTCTTCTGCGAAAGTGGAGGCGTTTCAAAGATTTCAAGGCCACCCCTATTTCTTTCAATGGAACTGTACATTTTTTTATACACCATTCGATGCACCTTTTAATTCTCCACGAAAAAGTATTAAGATACCTGGGTCGAGAAATTATTAGTTTAAAAGATATTTTAACTTTAGTTTCTCTAAACTGTATAATATTTGGTATTTGGACCTAGGCTTGAATTATTTCTTCGCTCGTATTTACTAATTTTACTCTTTTAACTCGTCATAATTACAACTTTGTATGCGCGATTCTCAGGAATTATCACGTGGCCATCAAATATTGTGTCCAACTTGTGTTGAAAAATCTAATTGCTGTCTGAATTTTTAATGATTTTTTGAACTCTGACCATCATAATTACTTCTAACCAAGGTTTTTACCTCAATAGAAATTGTATTTCTGTAAAATATCACGGGTTTCCT